ATGTGTCCCAGGATCTTCTAATTGGCAGGTCATACCTACTTCTCCAGTCAGCTTTGCCATGCCCTAATCTCCTGTCTATATTTTTCATTCACATTTTTTAACTCAAATTTTGTCTCACACAGATATTCTGGAGGCACCAGTGAGAACTAGCTATGTCTTTCAGGAAACAGGGTTGAGCTGCTGGACAAAGACTTTATGGGACTGAAACTCGACAATATTTACTGTCTGTCTCTTGACAGAAAATATATACTGAACCCTTTATTGCCAAGTTGATATGCATTCATTCCTGGCACACGTATTCACTGAACACCTGCAATATACTAAGTACTGTGTTCCTGTTTTCTAAGTAAGATGCTGTCAGACAAATGAAAGAGACAGATAACTAAAATGCTTGCTGACCGGTGTGAATTTAGAAGCAAAGCTCGGTCACTGTGTGTGCATGGGAGGCACTAATCCAGAAAGGGCAGGCACCGCCACCAGGGATCCCTTCTGATTAAGAGTGTCTAAATTGGCCCTGGATGGTGAGTAGAAATTTGCTAGGCAAAGCAGCAGAACAGCAACTATAACCCCCTCCCCATGAGGAAGCAGTGAATGTTTCAAAGATAACAGGGCAGAAAGACCAGACACCTTGGTCAGGTTGATTGCATGGGTGATGGATGAAAAAGCTATAGAAAGATAGCATCAGATGGACCTCTGGCAGAAGGCAGAAAGGAAGGTTCAGGAAGGAGGGCAACACCAGGTACAGCCCGGAGGAGGGTGCTGAGCCCGTGCTCCTGTGGGTTCTGCTTGAGAAAGTCCCTTTCGTGGGCAGAGACCCCCCTGTACCTCCGCCAGGACCGAATTCCTCTGCAAGCAGCACCTCCGGAGCAAATGAGTATAAGACCGAACTCAGTGAATCTTTCCCAATCCCTCTGCAGGCAACATCTGGAATTCTGAAAGCTATTAAGCCTTTTCCAGGATTATAAATGAAGATGTAAAGTGCAAATGTCAATGTTGATGGAGATGAAAACATTGCAATTTATCCCAACTAAAGTACAGTCAGACAACAAGGCAACAAATAGCATCACAACCTTTCCAGTTTTATGTATTTATTTTTATTTTTTGCCTGTGGTGAGACAGGGTCTCACTATGCAGTTCAGGCTGGCCTTGAGCTCACTTTGTAGCCCACACTGGTCTCAGGCTCATAACGATCCTTCTGCCTCAGCCTCCCAAATGCTGGGATTATAGGCGTGCGCCACCACTGCATTTTCCAGTTTTAATTTATGGGCTTTGGGAGAAAGGAAGGCGTCTCTAAGATCCTTTCTCTATTATGGGCTCATTTTGTGTATCCTAAATGAAGCTAAGGAAGAATATAAATGCTAAGAAGACATGCTTTGTCAGTTTTAGAAAATGTGTTTTCTTTTAGTTGAGGTACATCCTGCTTTGTAAGATGTACATTTTTAAAGTAATAGGAGAGAGCATTGTTATGCGTGTATCGCTTTCAGGGCAAAACTTTTCCCCTACTGATTGCCATTTGGTGAGATTTTTTTTTGCTTTACTTCCCTGCACCAGCAGAAATCTCCAGCTTGGGTGAATCTTGGGGGCCTGTAGCCCTGGCCTCCTTGGGGTTCACATCTTTGCATTACTTGTTGTCTTCCTCGCTCTCTGGTCTCCCTGCTCGATCTCACCTCCACAGGGCAGACCTGCTCAGCTTTCCTCACTGTGTACGTTCTAACTTCCGGCTCAGTGTCTGGCACGGAGTAGAGGCCCAGCAAATATTCTTGAGGAAATAAATCAGAATATTGAAATATTTTATATCCATACTTCTTTAATTTGTTAGTAACTACAAGTAGTCAGTTGTATGTCTCTCAGCGAAAAAAAGGGCCGTTCTGTCTGATGAAAAAGTTCAAACTCTAAAGAATTTTCTATCAAAATGAGAGCTTATTAAATTTATAGTATTACATCAAGTTTCAAAATTCCTGCAGTGCATACTTCTTTGAAAATGATCTTGCTCTGTTTTTCTAGGGGTTTTTACATTAAATTTGCAGAATACTTATGCTCTGAAGAGGATGAAAAAAGTGGAAATACAGCTTTTTCAAATGGGAAAAGGCTCAAGAGTTGAAGTGAGCAGGGAGGGATGGAAAGAGAAGGGGACCAAAAAAGAATGAGATGTGTTTTGTGCATGTACAAAGCCCCCACCATAAATGTAATCATTATGGATGCAGACATGTACTAATAAAAGTACATAATAAGAAAACTAACAAGTTAAAGAACAAGAGTGATTTCTATATAAAAAGAATAGCAATTCTTTTTGAGAAACAAAATTTCAAATTCAAACTGTTTTTCTGTTTTTTTTTAGGTAAGATGCCTGTATATGCATAAGATACAAATATGTGTTTATGGAAATGTTACGGTTTGTGTCTGCATGTCCCCCCAAAGCCTCATGCAGTCATGGGGTGGGCTTCTAGAGTTTATGACTGACCCATGGTCCAATGCTGGGATTATGGGTGTGAGTGCTACACCCACCCTGGGTCAGGCAGCCTGCATACAATATAAGGGAGGAGGAGAGGCTTGCAGTTTCTGCTGCCGCTCCTCCCTTTTTGCTCTTGCTGCTTTTGTTGTTTCCTTCTGCCACTATGAGCTGTTCCCTTCTGGCATGTGCCACCCTGCCTTGGAGCCAGCTGAGCATGGACTGAAATCTCCACAAGCTGTGAGCTGAATAAACCTTTCCTTTCTTAATTCTGGGCGTTGGATATTTTGTCTCAGCAACAAGAGAAAAGTAACTAAGACAATAAAAGTAAAATTTTTTGTATTCATAAGTGTGCTAGTGTTGTGGGAAAAATAACTCCCAACCTGTGAGATGTCAGATGTGCCAAGTTTATGGTCTCACAACATTGAGGAACGCAGTCGCAAACCAAAGGAGGTTAAGGGAGTTTTATTTGAAATAAGAATAGCCCCTGGGTTTCCAGCAGGGGTCAGATGCAGGGAGCACAGGAACTGCTCCATTGTTTGGTAGCCACCTATCCCAGGCAGTTGTGTGTGTGCTTGCTTTGGTAGCACGTACACCAGGCAGCTCTGTGGATTCAAAAGGACCAACTGGAGCGCAGGATCGCTAATCCAGTTCTTCAACATGTGGGGTTCAAAGGATATTAGGATTATAGAAAACCCGGTTATTTCACATAGTTTTTACCAGTGCGGCTGTCATCCTGCCATGGCAAGCGGGAACACCAAAGTGACACCCAGGATTTGGATGCAGATTTATTTACATCAATGGGCACTGGTTGGGATCACTCCCACAATATCAGACCCCGATCTCAATCTCTGGTGATCTAGGGCTTTATATGATGCACAAGCAGGAGGTACGAAGATGAGCTACAACAGCCTGGCAGTTCTTCTGATTAGCTAGCAGGGTGAGACCATCAGTTACAAGGGCAGATTAATGATCATCAGTTCATGAAGCTTGGTACAATGGTACAATCAGGCATCCTACATGTTCAGTTACACGCTCATGGTTACAAGGGATCCACAAAGGAACTACGAAGCCAGTAAGCAGTTAGGAGCTAGGCAGCTTCAAAAGAACAAAGTTATAAAAGAACAATTTCTCTCGTACAGTTTTCCCCTTCCGGTCCCACCCTACCACAGGCCCTTCCCTTAGCTAGCTGCCTTGCTCATAAGCTCCCTAAATAATCCATTTTCTATACTAGGATTAAGTTTTTTATGAAATAGATTTCTAGGCTTGTGAAAACCTTGAGGTAGTTCTGGCAAAACACCGTCTTGGGGGAATATATATATATATATATATATATGTATTTTTAAATTGCTTCTGTACTCTTGGTCTTCCTCCTCCCATAGTCCACTTTACTGGCTTTATTGGAAAATTGATTTATTTCAACCTCATTTTTTGGGAAAATTTTGTTTTGTTTTCTTAGTCAGGGTTTCTCTGTGTAGTGCAGGCTGTCCTTGAACTTGTGTAGCCCAGGCTGGTCTCAAACTCGCAGTGCTCCTCCTAGCTCAGCCTCGCTGGGAGTATAGGTGTGCACCACTACCTCCTGCTTTTTTACCGGTAAAGTTTTGTGGCCAGGAGTCCTCAGTCCAGTCACCCGCCTCCTTAAATTGAGAAGCCGGATGTGTGAAGTAAGAACAGCAGCAGACTTTCATTTTTATTTATTTTTATTTTTTATTTTTTTCCCGGTACCGGGAATCGAACACATGACCTCGCGCTTACCAGGCAGGCGCTGTGCCGCTGAGCTAAATCCCCAGCCCCTAGACTTTCTTTTTTGGAAACACGGACCCCAGGACACAGCGCGCAGGGCACATTGGTGGCCGTGTAAGGAAGCTCCAGGGTGCGCTGTGCCCGAGGTGAAAGAGTGATAACCTCAGTGGGATCTGTACAGCGTCGCAGGGAAGCACCACGCACCCCGGTGCCCCGCAGGCAGGCCCGCACCGCTCCGTGTAGATCGCCCTCGCCATCGTGGAGGCCGCAAGCCACGAGGACTACACTTCCCAGAGTGCCGCGCGCGCATCGCCCCGCCCCG